TAAATCTCTAGGTCTCTTGTTTACGGGCTAGGCACTGCTTATACGGTCGTTATATCAACATTTCCTATTTCCGGCGATCTCACTTTACTATTTCTCACTTCCATTGTCCAAAAACGGCAGGTGCCTACCCTACGTGGACAAAGAATCCCTCGCTTCTGATTGGTCGCGCCCCTGGACCCTGAATTCCGCCGCCTTCAAAGGTATTCCCTACTTCCAAAAAAACCTAACTTGCGACATCAACATTGGTTCGTTGACCCCCCCCCTCCCGCCCCGCCCCCTACCCGCTACAACCCCTCCTAGCCTCCGCCTGCTGCTCTGCCTGCTGCTCTGCCTACTGCTCCGCCTGCTGCTCTGCCTGCTATACCGCCTGCTGCTGCTATCGTTATAGCGCCGTTACTCGCAGCGCGCCGCAAGCTTTCAATCGCCAGAAAGGTACTACGAACATCTGGAAAGAGACTCCCTAGCGCAACAGGTAGGAAAGGGCTTCCATCCGCAGGTGTAAAGAAAAATCAAAAAAAGAGAGGCAGTAAGTATACCTGGTCGGCAGACGTAGTCGGCACATATGGTCGGCATGTACTAACATTTCTTTTAGAGGGAGCTTTGTAGGAGATTAAAAAATGCCAGACGGAGGTTATAAACTATATCCTAAAGCTCGCGTTCGCACGCATCGTTAGGGATGCTATCATCCTTTTTACCGAAGACTACCTCCCTATACGGATCTAAGCGAGCGCACTCGGCATCCTCTAGGAACAGTGCGAGAGCATAGTGACGAAAGTCTTTTCGTTAGCCAATCTTCTCGCTATCTACTGCAAGCGAGTTACAGTAATAGCGAAAGATCTCGAATGTCTTCGTAGGCTGCTGAAGGAGTGGAATATCTGGCCAGACAATTACGTAGTTGCTCTCTATAGCTCTGGCCTAGTCAACCCGAGTACGATATATAAGCCTCGATCAAAGACGAAGAAGACGAAATCGAAGCTAACTCTAAAGAAGCCGACTGCGAAGAAGAGAAAGAAGACTCCCGCGTCCTTAAGCGAAGACGAGAGCTCAGATGATCCCGATAACCCTAGCGCTCAAACGGGTACTCAAACCGGTACTAGTAGCTAGACAGACGCCAACAATCAAGATCCTCCTAGCACCGATCAGGATAATAGCGACACCGGTGGCCAGACAGACGGGAACAATCAAGATCCTCCTAGTACCGATTAGGATAATAGCGACACCGGTAGCTAGACAGACGGGAACAATCAAGATCCTCCTAGTACCGATCAGGATAATGGCGACACCGGTAGCCAGACAGACGGGAACAATCAAGATCCTCCTAGCACCGATCAGGATAATACAGATACTAGTAGCTAGACAGACGGGAACGATCAAGATCCTCCTAGCGCCGATTAGGATAATAGGGGTTTGAACGATTCAGACGGTGAGAAGCAGGCGACTATCGTAATTTCGAGCGGTGATAAGAGCTCGGAATACGATCTAGATACTGATCCTAGCGTTCAAACTGGTTATCCTCCAGCTAACAAGGAGAATGCTCAGGACGATAATACGGTACCCCCAACGACAGAGGATGAATATCTCTAGGCTCTCCTCGATCATGTTAATGCCCAAGAAGAAGAAGACGAGGAGATGGCTTCCGAGAATTCAGATTTTCCTTTTGGGCAACTAGGTATACCGCTCAGTCAAGCAGATTTTCAGTATAGCGACGAGGATATAGGTACCTAGGATCAAGATATCTCGCTTGGCCAAGACTACAATCCTTTCGATTATCCAGATTTGGAGGAGACGGGTCCTGATTCTCTCTAGGAGAGTCGACCAGATATAGAGAGAGAGGATGAAGAAGAGGAGTCGCAGTAGGAGTTTGACGAGGAGATGACAGAATTAGAGGATATAGCAAGGGCAGCGTATACGGTGGCTATAGATCAAGCGAATAATCGGGGTACGTAAGAATTCGTAGCTAGGGGAAGTATCGACAAGATACTAAGTATACTTGTAGAAGAGCCTATTACCGAACGAGACAGACTGGAGACAGAA